AACAGTCAGAAACCAAACCTGTTATAAAAACAAGGGACAGTCAAAAACCATCCCTCTCACCACAAAGTCAGTGCTTTAAGCCCTATGAACTGCACAGGTGGAAAAAAACCGCAATATAAACTTTGGTTTTATGATAATTGGGGCTAGCTGAAATACAGGAGACATTGAAAGTCTTTTACAATAGTTTTATTAGCTGTTACAATTTATATACGGTATTTATGAGATTTAGATGGCTGCCCATATTATATACAATAACCTGGGTGGTTACAAAAACAATAGTGAAAAACATAAAAGAAAACAATAGAAACAGCATAAAAAAAACCCCAACTCCCAGAGCCCCAGAACCACACTCCCTTATGTTGACACTTATATCTACTGGGCTCCAGCCTCACTCTAGCCTAACACTGGGGGAAAAGCCAGTTCCTCAAGGCCTTCTGGAAGACTAAGAGGGTGGGGGCCTGCCAGATCTCAGGGAGGGAGGGTGTTCCACAGGGCAGAGGCTGCCATTGAGAAGGCACACTTCCTGGGTCCTATTAGATAGCAACACTTAAGGGAGGGGACTTGGAGTATACCCACCCTATCCAAACTGATGGAATGGGCAAACATCCTCAGGGAGAGGTGGTCTCTCAAATAATCTGGCCCTGTGACATTCAGGGTTTTAAAGGTGACAAACAGAACTTTGAATTGCACCTGGAAAGAGACTGGAAGCTAGTTCAGCTTGCACGGTAGGAGAATAATACAGGCAAACTGCAGGACACTTAGAACAGTGCACGCTATTGCATTCTGAACCAGTTGTAACTTCCAGATAGTCTTCAAGGTGCCCATGTAGAGTACTTTGCAGTACTACAGCTGGGAAATGACTAAGGCATGAGTGACTGTGATAAAAGTATTTATCAGAATTTGTGTTCTTGGATGCCTACTTTCACCAGTTTCCAGTTCCAGTGTTGTTGAGACAAACCTGACAGTAAAATATATCTGGATTTACATATTGACTGACAAAAAAGCAAGATATTTGTAGAAAGAAACACTGATCTGATATTCTGTGTGTGTGTGTGTGCGCGCACATGCCTGATCTGATATTCTGTGTGTGTGTGTGTGCGCGCACATGCCTGATCTGATATTCTGTGTGTGTGTGTGTGCGCGCACATGCCTGATCTGATATTCTGTGTGTGTGTGTGTGCGCGCACATGCGCACATGTGTGTGTGTGTGTATATGAAACTAATGAAGCATACCTAAAACATGGATATATAGGTAGCATATTGTATGCATATTAAATTTATCAGATCGTTTTCCAGAGGGTTAATCTACTGCAGCAAAACACACTCAGTAGCTTGTCATTCCTTAAAGGTAATTTGTTAGCCTTTAAGACGTTGCAAGAGTTCATTGCTTTTACCACTTGGTATTGCTAATTTCCATGAGTTAATCTTAACTTTGTGGATGACATGAGCTGCTGATAAATTTACAAAAAGGCATTCTTAAAAGTTGGAAAAAGTACTATAATCTGAATACTTTATATGTTCTGAGGTTACTAACAATCAATACTATGTCTATTTAATATCTATATAGCCTACTGGATGAGGTATTGCACTTTTAATGTCTCTGAAATGTTTGCTAATGTAGCAATTTTCATGAACAGACTTCCAGCTAAAACTGAGAATGGTTCACAGCATATCACACAAACTACATTACTAAGGTTCTGTTCTGTTGACTCACTGACAAGTAAATTGCAGATTCCACTCTATCCACATTGCCTTTTATGGTGAAGCCTTTCAAAAGGTGTTTTTGTGCAGGATATCTTTATAGAGCAACTCTCTCGCTTTTGCAGTCAAATGTGAAAAATCAGTCTTGGATGTCAGCCTTCTAGATCCCAGCATTTTAATGTTCTAAACAGAAATCTTTTAAAACTTATACTATTGCTTAGTTTAGCAAACCTTTTTGAATTCTAAGGATGATCCTGCACAAGTTGACTTATTTGAAACTAATTTCTAAATATTTATAATCACAGTAATAAGGATATAAGACAATCAGTGAAGGATCAGATTGAAGGCAATTCTGGTCCAACAGCCTTTTTACATAATTATCTATCAGGCATTTCTAGGAAAACAAAAATAAAACTTAAGGGCATTGGCATTTTCTTACTAATGTTCTCCAGCAACCAGTAGCATGAATAGCATTCTGCTTTTGCACCTGGAAATATTGTCTTCCATGAATTCAGCTGCCTTTTAAAGCCACCAAAGTTGGTCACCATCAAATCCACACAATTTTGCATTATGCAAAGTTCTTCCTTTATCTATGCGTTCAAGATTTTAGGATTATTGATGCTCCCTGAGTGACTGCCAATTTTATATCTATGCTTGGATCTATTTATTTTCTATTATTGTATATTGTAACTATTGTAAATTGATTTTAACTGTTTTGTAAACTGCCCAGAGTTATTT